GAGCCAATTAAAATTACCGAACTGAATGAAAGTCCTAAACTAATGATCAGCAGCAAAAAAAGGAAGCTGAGCAATTCTGATTCTGAAGAAGAAATTGATGAAAAACTAATGGATCAACCAAAGATACCAAAGCAGTTGTTACAAACAAAAGATCGCCGTATCAGAAAAAAAAATCAAGGAGTTCATTTAAAACCTGTGAGACCTCTAGAACCTCATATTAAAAAATTGGGATCTGAACCTTGTCTTTGGTCAGGCAGTGAGTTTAATAATCATGCTGTTGTGTTGTGGCAAATCTTAATTTTATAGACTCTCCACCAAGATATAGAAAAAAATCAAAAAGCCATGAAAGTTTCAGTGGTTAGTATACTCTTAGTGCACTGCTTAATTAACATGTATACTAGATATTGATAAATTTCCAATAATTGACAAGAAAACTACTGAATCTTTAACCTGCCTGAATGATCAAATTTCAAGGTCTTCTTCAAATAATGAAAGTAATACTTCTAATTTTTACTAGGCCATTAAATTCATGGATATTAAAATTTGTTTTATATAGTTTTTCTTACTCCTCCAAGTGATAAAAAAACATTCGATAAAAGGAAAAAGCGATCTCTTTCTCCAAAATCTCTTTCACAAGATGGTACATGTTTTGGGCTAATTTTAATGTTGTATCTATCATTATAGCAATTCCAGAACAGAGGCCAGATGAATTTAAATCTGATATCAGTTTAGACCTTGCTGTGTCATTAAGTATACCTGAAAAGCCTTCAAACTCAAACACCACCAAAGATAAAAATTTGGATGTTGAGCCGTAAGTCTTCTTGCTCATGCCACAATCACTAATAATGCGTGAACTTGTAACAGGCATGTGAAAGTAGTAGAAATTGAATCACAAAGAGTACATCCAAAAATTTGTGGGCTTAAAAGCCTTGGAAATACTTCAAGGTCTTCCTCAAATAATGAAAGTAATAATTTTTACTAATGAATTCATATTAAACTTGTCTTGTAATAGTTTTTCTTACTCCTCCAAGTGGTAGGAAAGCATTTGATAAAAGAGACAAGCTATCTTTTTCTCCAAAATCTCTTTCACAAGATGGTACATTTTTTGGGCCAATTTTAATATTACATCTATCATTATAGCAATTTCAAAGCTAAGTTCAGATGAATTTAGATCTAAAATCAGTTCAGACCCTGCTGTGTCGTTAAGTATATTTAATAAACCTTCAAACCCAAATACTAAGACTGCTTCAGAAGATAGAAATTCAAGTATTCAGCTGTAAGTCTTTTGCTCTTACTGTAATTACTAATGTTGCTTGAATTTTTAAGTCATGCAAAACTAGTAGAAGTTGAATCACAGAGAATACATTCGAAAATTTGTGGGCTTAAAAATCTTGGAAATACTTGTTATATGAATTCAGCACTTCAATGTTTGGTTCATACAGAACCATTAAGAGAGCTGATTGAACCAACATGCACGGTATATTTTTAATTGCTTTTTGTTGTTTTTATGTTATCATTGTTAGAACGGGAGTAGATCTTTACAAAGTAAGAATGCCACATTACCTGTAATTACTACATTGTGCCTAATAGCTTCTCAACCAAGTCACCGAAACTTAGCCAGTAGCTTTTCTCAGCTTATTAAAGACATGTTGCAGGCACCAGGTCTAGGATATTGCAATCCATATGACCTAAAAGTAAGATGCATTATTTTTATTATAATTATTTACATATTTATATTTTAGAAAGCTATAGAAAGTCATGCTCCAATTTTTAAAGGGAATTCTCAACAAGATGCTCAAGAATTAATCACTCTTTTTATTGGTGGTTTACATGAAGAATTCAATGAAATAACTGGAAAAAAGCCATATGTTACAATGGAAGTGGACGAAAGTCAATTTGAATCAGAAGAGGTATATTGTGATTGCATGTACAGTAGAGTGCAAATACCATCACCAGTAGAACATGTGTGCATTATTATGAATATTTTTGTAAACAACTTTATTTAGCAATCGGCAAAATTTTTCAAGATGCATGTTACTCCAGGGTTTCCCACAGGATTTTGGTATAGTGCTCATGCAGGCTCTTGTCAGTGGATTTTAAAGCTGCTCAAAAATTTAAAAAATACAATATACCATACAGGATATTTTTTCTAATTACATATGTTGTGTAGTGAGTTTGAGCTAATTCTAACCAAAATTGATTTTTTTACAAATTTTTTAAAGTTACTCAAAAATCAGGCCAAAGTCCCTGTACTTTAGTACAGAAATTTCTGCCGTATTTTAGAAAAGGAACCTGAGTGTGTACTAGTATGTACAATTGTAGTG